CCATCCATCCATCCATCCATCCATCCATCCATCCATCCATCCATCCATCCATCCATCCGTTAGTTTGTTTGTTTAAATATAGATATTTAGATAAACAAATAGATATTTATTTATTATTTTCATGTTAATGTCATTTTTTGACTATCATTTTTATTTGTATATGTTTTTACAGGTTAATTTGTGAAAAGTAGCAAAAACAGACTTTCTTTGGAGTCTTTCCCTTTGAGTTTTTAACCCTCAGCATTGATTTCTGGTGATTTCTTGGCTGTTTTTGGCAAGTGATGGAGGCCCGTCGCCCTGTTGAGGAGCCGGGAACAAAAAGTGTGCACGCAGGAGGAATCTGAGACAGTTTTTCTGTTTGTTGGGAGTCTGACAGGCATGAATAATAAATAGGAAACACTCCAGAATGTGGTGTGGTGCAGAGGAGGTCCACAAAGAGCCAAATGAATGCAGGGAACGTCCCAGATGGCATTTTTATGTGGTAAAAATCAGTAAGAAAGGACCTCAGAAGGTGGAAGATTCCTCAGACGGGGGCTGGTTTTGGGTTTGGGAGCCTTTTGGTGTTTTTTTTATATTTTATTCTCCTTCCTCTGATGTCTTTACATCCTGCTTTTCTTCTTTTTTGGTGCCACAGTCGCTGGTGCTTTGGCTCTCTGCTCTACTGTGTTTTCTCCTTTTGTCAGAGGACTTTTGATTCTCTCTGAGTCTGTTCGGTTCCCTGCTTTGTTCCCCACGTTGTTGCTTTCGCTTCTGCCTGTTTGCACTCCTGTTGGTGCTCCACAGGACCCCCCCCCTTCAGTCCCATGTGGTGTCTTCATTTACAACAGAAACTCTACCAACGATCGCCTAAACATACAGTTTTCCAACATACGAGGTGAAATTTGATCAAATATTCTACTCGACACCCAAAGTGAATTCTATGACGTTGAAGTCATAGAAAAAGTATATGAAATATAAAAATTAAATAACAATAAATAAGCTAGGTTAGTTTAAAGTTCAGGTAGTGAAAGTTTGAGTAAATTAGGGTACCTCCTGTATCTCAGTCTCCACCTCCATTCTGTCTCTGAGGTAAAGTGCCAATAAACATTTATGAAGGAGTTATTGTAGGTTTTTGGGCTGTGGAACGAATGAAAGGAATTACAGTGTATTCTGATGGGAATATTTGAACCAATAAAAAAAAAATAAAAAAGTGGAAAAGTGGAATGATCCATTCTGCTGATTGGCCAATAAAAAAAAAGAATGAAAAGAGCAGAAATTAATCACTGAATGGAAAAAAGTCGGATCAATTGGCTGATAAAAATGTCCAATCAGAGCAAAATAGAGGCAAAAACCTGAAACGGTAAAGAGTGTTTACACTCTAAAACCTGTGGCAAACTAATAAAATAAATGGGCTTTTAAAACATAAATTTAAGGTAAAAGGCAGAGTGGAAACATTGAATTATGCCACATTTGATCATTCATTTGGTGCATATTGTTTTCTTTCTCCTCACAAACTGCTTTTTCGTCTGCTTTTAGCCAGATGTTTTAACTGGACTGTTACCTCTCTGTTTTCCAGTAAAGTGCAGCTTTTTTTTTTTACGTTTCAGGTTTTAAAATTAGACCTTTGGCAGCCCGACAGCCACTCGTCTCCTCATTTATGCAGAAATATGGCAGCGAGTGACGCTGCCGCTCGCTGTGAATGTGCCAGAAGACGTGATGCACACGTCTGTGTTGTGTTCACAGCTCCTTCTGCAATGAAAAGCCATCAATTCTCCTGCCTGCCAGCCTGGGCTGAGTCCCCCACACAGAGCAGGAGCAGCTCCCTGTGTTTTCACAGCACCTTCAGGCCTCGCGCACTCTGTCGGCTTTGATGCAAACACACCTCCAGCCGCCAGAAATAAGAAAGGTGAGAATCGTAAAGCAGCACGGGGGAGGTGGGGGGGTGGGGGGGAGTCTTTTTCTCCAGCTTATTTTCGACACTCTGAGAGAGCTGAGCGACTTTGTCCCTACTCAGAAACTGAAAACATCTGAGCTTTTCGAAGTTATAATTGCCCTTTTTCCAGCTTTTCCGTCTGAGATGTGAATGCAAGCCTTCAGATTTCTGAATAAAAACTGACATTAAAAGCGATGCGAGCTGCTTTTTGTGTTTGGATCTGCACTCGACAGGCAGCAGAGCTCCAGTTTCACTCATTTCACAATTCTGAATCCTTCAGATCTGAGCTTTTATCCCCTCAGACATTCCAGGAAGCTGCAAAAAAATGTTCCTCTAAATTATAATTTGTCTCAACTCTCTTTGAGCTTTTCATTTTCCATACCAACAGAAGCAAAAAAAAAGCCCATGTGGCCTTTTTCCTTTTATACAAAAGAAAAATTAAGTTTAACTGAGTTCTGTTTAAAGGCTTTGCACCTGCTTTGGATGAATTACAACTAGATTTGAGGAGTCTAGCACTGGTTTCCATACATGACAGTTTTTTAAGGTCATTGGAATGCAAAAATAAAGCTGTAAATCACACATTTTGCACATTTTTCACAAATCCCAAACAAAGAGTTCCTTTTTTGGGGGGAGATTTCGGGGGAAACTGGAAGCATTTTTAGGGGTTCAACATGTTTTATTTGGCTGGTTTTGGCTCTTCAGCTGAAACTGGAGGCATTTTAAGGGGTTCAACACGTTTTATTTGGCTGCTTTTGGCTCCAGCTGAAACTGGAGGAATTGAATTTGCAGGGCTGGCTGTGCTGTTGCCTGGTGACAAAGTTAACTAGCTGCAAGCCGTCAGTGGACGTGTGAACATCAGCCTGCGGGCTGAGCTGGAGGATCGTGTGCAGGGATGCTCTGGAGCCCCTCCGACAGGCTGCCGACCCTCCGCTGCTTTGCTGTCAGATCATGGAAATCCACACTCAGCACACTCTGAAACCTCCAGACAGGCACTGAATCGGAATCCCTCTCAAAAGGGGAAATCTGTTGGCATGTGTAACTGATTTCATTCAGTGTTTTTAATTAAACAGACACAATTTCTCCAGCATGGACTCAACACATTTTGGCTTTTTTCGGGGAGCTTTGCACCACATCACACATCCTCTGTGACTCTTCTCCCCTCACAAAGGCAGCCAGCAGATGAGATTGAATCTTGGATGTTTCCCGGCCCTCAGAACCGGCCAAAACACGATAAAAGAGGTAGATAGGGATGCTTGATATGCACCAAGTTTAAGCTCAGTTCAGAGATCTGATTCGACGAGGCCGTGTTAGCCTGATTCTATTGAAAGAGAGGATTCAAACCAAGGCTCAGTAATCCAAATGGGCAAATGGGAGCAGGGCATGGTGTCCCATGTGATCCATTTAAATGGGGGAACATCTGTGTGGGGAATTATCTATAAAAAATAACTGAAAAATCAGCTTTTGGGTCTTTAGATGAAGGAAAATCATTAGTGTTTTTATGGAGCTGAGAAATCTCAGCGTTTCCACATTGAGCCATAATGTCTCGGAGCTCTAACTGCATAGAAACCTCTGCGAGAGAAATCCTCAGAGGCCTCAGAAATACCCCTTTATGGGGTATGATAGGGGTAATTAAATCTAAGTGTGCATCTGGATCACATTCACTGAATCTGTAACAAAAAACAACAACCTCTGTTTATATTTATTACTTTTGTTATCAAAATGTCATGTGCTTGTATGGATAGTAAAGGAAATGAGGAGGCGATGAATAAAAGCCCTCAGCTCCTGTGAAACGTCAGTCTTATCTGAGACCACAGACTCTGATCAGAGCCGGTTTGAGCTGGTAACATCCCCGGCAGGCTAAGCAGAGCCTTTTCCTGCTCATTAGCTGATGCAGATGAACTCAGCCACCCACTTCCCGAGCTGTCCCTGCTGTGGTGACAGCTGCTACCTGTCCAGCCGGTCACTCTTCTGACCTCAGGGAGGCCGACAAAACAGCAGGAGACACGTTCAGGTCTGTCACACGTCAACAGAGCTGGAACAGTCCTTCTGTCTGTGAGCTGAACCTAAACTGTTCGACATCAAAATACTTCAATATGGTCCTGTTTCTCCTCTTATTTGAAAACTTTTGACTACTTTTCACACTCCTCCCATGAATATTTCGTATTTTAATTCACACATTTATAATAAAAATTGATTATGTTAAAAATATCTTACATTAATTGGTTTATGATTAATAATGATGTAATTTAATTTGATAAAAGATGAGTTAATATTTAGAATACGTTGACAAGAATAACACCATGATATCACATTATTTTACATTTTAGAAAATGTTTCAGTGTTTGACTCGTTTCACTTGTTTTCTGTAGGATGCGTGATGACGCAATGACGCTGTTACGTCGTCATGCGTCATTACCTGTTCTCTCGTTTTGTCAATAAAGTTTTGTTCAGACGCCGGCCAAGATGGCGGACTGCGATCTAACCACCAAGATAGCACATTTTCTGGACCGGCATCTGGTTTTTCCTCTGCTGGAGTTCCTCTCCGTGAAAGAGGTGCGGTCGCTTTGTGTTTTAAAATGCAAAAAATATTCTGGGGCTGTTTATTTGTGGTGATTCGGATGGTTTAAAACGACATTAGACGTTAGATAGCCCATCAGCTAGCGGTAGCCACCGGTTGCTCATAGACACGCCTTTTTTTCTTTATAATTTAGCTACTGTTTTAACACAAAGTGTGAAAACAGCGATTCGCTTTATATTCTGAAAACCTGTTTGAAGGCTGCCTTATTTGCTGGATTTCGGATCTTTTTAAGGTTGTACCTTAGCTGTCATTCAGGTTTATCAGCGGTGGAATGGAACCAGCTGTTTTGCTCACCTCCCCTTTCAGCATAACGGAGCTCTTTGTGTCCATTTATTATCGTGTAAACGTGTTTTTTTCTATTGGCAGATCTACAATGAGAAGGAACTTCTCCAGGGAAAGCTGGACCTCCTCAGCGACACGAATATGGTGGATTTCGCCATGGACGTGTACAAAAACCTGTACCCAGACAAGGAGATCCCACACTGTAAGAACTGCTGCAGATCACCCAAAGCCTTCAGTTTTAGATGCCTGCTTCTTTATTTCCAGAACAAATCCCTCCTTTTGGCTTCCGATTGGTAGTATTAAATGACCATCTATCCCATCGTCGGTGGTAGCGGCTTCATGCTGACCAAAGCAAACCACCAGCTCTCCTCATTTTGCTCCCCAAATGGTTCAAAACATTAAAAGTAACCCACTCATGCATGAATCAATATAATTTCAGTCAGGACTGTCAGTCAGTGTTCTTTAAGTTTTAAAAAATGTTTTGTCAAACCTGCCTCAGCCCTCAAGGAGAAGCGGAGCACGGTGGTGGCCCAGCTGAAGCAGCTCCAGTCGGAGACCGAGCCCATCGTCAAGATGTTCGAGGACCCAGAGACCACCCGCCAAATGCAGTCCACCAGGTCAGTGCCCCCCCGTTGGCCCCCCCCTCCCCCTCCCCATGGCGCCGCCGGCCGGCGGTCTGACTGGCTGTGTGTGTGTCCCCCCCCCACAGAGACGGCCGGATGCTGTACGACTACCTGTCAGAGAAACACAATGTGAGTCCCCTTTTTGGCCTAAAAGTGGGTCGCGAAGATGGTGTTTCCATGACAACCAGCTGTCATCAGCACCATCCATCCACTTAGTGATGAGAGGAGAGCTCAGATGCATGTGCTGCTGTTAGTCTTTGATGGTTTGTGTTTGTTTGTGTCTTGGTTGGTTTGTGTTAGTGTGCTTGTTTGTTTGTGTTTATTAGTGTTAGTTTGTGTTGGTTTGTGTCATGTGTTCTTGTTAGTGTGTTTGTTTGTGATTGTTTGTGTTAGTTTGTTTGTGTCTTGCTTGTGTTAGTGTGCTTGTTTGTTTGTGTTTGTTTGCAATTATTTGTAATTGTTTGTTTTATTGCACTTGTATGTTTGTGTTTGTTTTTGTTTGCATTTATTTGTAATTGTTTGTGTTATCGCACTTGTATGTTTGTGTTTGTTTTTGTTAGTTTGTTTGCTTCTGTTTGGTTGTTTGCATTTGTTTGTAATTTTGTGTTAGTTTGTATTTGTTTTTGTTAGTTAGTTTGGTTGTGGTTCTTTGCTTTGACCCGGCTCTTGTTGTGTGTTCCCCCATCCAGTTCCGACAGGAGTACCTGGACACGCTGTACAGATACGCCAAGTTCCAGTACGAGTGTGGGAACTACTCTGGAGCTGCCGAGTACCTCTACTTCTTCAGAGTTCTGGTGAGAGTGCCTGTCTGGGCCCAGACTGACCGGCTTCTGGGCCTGTCTGGGTACTGACTGACCGGCTGCTCTCTGCCCAGGTTCCCTCTACAGACAGGAACGCTCTGAGCTCCCTGTGGGGGAAACTGGCCTCCGAGATCCTGATGCAGAACTGGGAAGCGGCCATGGAGGACCTGACCCGCCTGAGGGAGACCATCGACAACAATGTGAGAGTCAGAGGAAGGAAAGGAAGCTGGATGCTGGACAGCTGGATGCTAAATAGCTGGACTGCTGGATAGCTGGATGCTAAATAGCTGGACAGTTGGATGCTGGATAGCTGGATGCTAAATAGCTGGATGCTAAATAGCTGAAGGCTAAATAGCTGGACAGCTGAATGCTAAATAGCTGGATGCTAAATAGCTGGATAGCTGGATGTTGGATATCTGGATGCTAAATAGCTGGATGCTAAATAGCTGGAAGCTAAATAGCTGGATGTTGGATAGCTGGATGCTAAATAGCTGGATGCTAGATAGCTGGATGCTTAATAGCTGGATGCTGGATAGCTGGATATCTGCATGCTAAATAGCTGGATGCTGGATAGCTGGATGCTGGATAGCTGTTAATGCTCTGCTGCTTGGGTTCCTCTGCAGTCGGTCAGCTCCCCCCTCCAGTCCCTCCAGCAGAGGACCTGGCTCATCCACTGGTCCCTCTTTGTGTTTTTCAACCACCCCAAAGGCAGGGACAACATCATCGAGCTCTTCCTCTACCAGCCCCAGTGAGTGTCCGGAGGCCAGCCGAGCAGGTCTCCCCCCCCCACCTCCCCCTGATTCTGTGCTGTCCTCCTCCTCTCAGGTACCTGAACGCCATCCAGACCATGTGCCCACACATCCTGAGGTACCTGACCACAGCGGTCATCACCAACAAGGACGTCCGCAAGCGCAGGCAGGTGCTCAAAGACCTGGTGAAGGTGATCCAGCAGGTGGGTCCGGCCCGGTTCTGGCTCCGGTTCTGGCTCCGGTTCTCTGGCTCTCTGGGTCTGAACCCCGTCTCTGTCCTGTGCTCAGGAGTCCTACACCTACAAGGACCCCATCACCGAGTTTGTGGAGTGCCTGTATGTGAACTTTGACTTTGACAGCGCGCAGAAGAAGCTGAGGGAGTGCGAGTCGGTGAGCTGCCGCCCCGTTTGCAGCATCCACAGCCTCCTTTTGCCCCTTTGGTCCAATTCCAGCAGGAATAAATTCAGAATTTCCCTCCAATTCGGCAGGAACGACCCCAGAATGAGACGGTGGAAAAACAAACCCACTTCATATGTTATAAATAGAAAATTATAGATGCATAATACATGAAATGGTCCTTTAAAAGGACAAAAGAAAAGACAAAAGAAAATGTTGTTGAGATTATAGCTGGATAACAATTTCTAAGAATAGAATTGAAGAATATTAATGATTAACAAGATAAATATTATAGTAATTTGAAAAACTACACTAAAACCTTTGTTTTCATCAGTTCATTTGTTGAAACTAAAATAATAATTATTCAATATGAAATAATTTTTTATAGTTAAATGACTTCAGTTTTTTATTTGTTCTTTCTTTTTGTATCTTCTTTCAGGTTCTGGTGAACGACTTCTTCCTGGTAGCTTGTCTGGAGGATTTCATCGAGAACGCGCGGCTCTTCATCTTTGAGACCTTCTGTCGGATCCATCAGTGCATCAGCATCAGGTGGGTCTGCACCCCCATCAGGTGGGTCTGCCCCCCCCCACCAGGGATAAAGTGCCCCCCCCTCTGTCTCCTGGCAGCATGCTGGCAGACAAGCTCAACATGACGCCCGAGGAGGCCGAGAGGTGGATCGTCAACCTGATCCGGAACGCCAGACTGGACGCCAAGATCGACTCCAAACTGGTGAGTGTGGCCCCCCCAAGTCCCCTATAGTCCCTCTGAGTGGGACTCCAGGGCTGACGCCTCCATGTTTTCCAGGGGCACGTCGTCATGGGCAACAACGCAGTGTCGCCCTACCAGCAGGTCATCGAGAAAACCAAGAGCCTGTCCTTCCGCAGCCAGATGCTGGCCATGAACATCGAGAAGAAGGCGGCGCATAGCAGCAGGAACGAGGTGAGGGGGGGGGGGGAGGGGGGTGACCTGGTGTGGGGTTACTTTGGGTTTAAACCTGGGGTCAAAAGTATTGACACTTAGGGGTCAAAGGACGACATGCTTTGGGGTCAGAACAGGGGTGTAAATAGAGAGACGTTTGGGTCAGACGAGGGACGCTTTGGTTGCTTATGTGGTTATTCTAGCCTTGGGTGACTAAAATGAGGAAAAACAGCTAGAATCTGTCCTCACCTACCTGCTGGTTGAGTGTTTTGTTTGGGTTTAATGCCCCCAAACTGTGTACATATTGTTTTAATGGGCTGGTTCAACTTTAAAGTTTTAAACTCCATCGTCTGAATGTTTTCCTGTACTGCTTTTGGATGACCGGTTCCTTTTTCCCCCCTTCAGACACCCAACTGGGCAGCTCAAGACTCGGGCTTCTACTGAGGAGGACAAACGTGTCCAGAAGCTCCAGATCTTATTCAGCTTTTCTATCATGAGAATGAATTTGTTTACAGTCCACTACAGGTCACCCCATTGGTCAAATGAATGCCAGTGCTCATTATGACTTGCTAAAGATCTGGCATCAGCTTGAATTTGAGCTTTTATTGTTTTTTTTTATTGTTTCATTGTTGAAAGTGTTAATTTAATTTATAAGAATAAACGTTTTGGCTGCCCTGTGATGGTCTGTGTGTCCCTCTTTTGGCCACTAGATGGCAGAGCTGCACACAGTTTTTCTCTTTTCTCACCTGAAGCTCGTCTGACTGGATTTCTATGAATTAAACAAGCATAAATCTATTTAATTGGCAGGTGTTTTATATGTCAGAAGTGACTTCAGTTGGGGCCCTGCCCCCCCCACTCCCCCCAGGTTGTGATTCTATGGATTAGCTTTGTTTGTGTAGCTCATGTTTGACCACACCTCACTTTAAACCGACGTGTCCGTCTCTGTAAATATTTGGACACCCTGTTGAACCAGTCCGGCGTTTTGAAGGATGCCTTTTTTGTCTCAGTAATCCTGAGGGTGAAGCTTCTGCTCGCTCTTGTCTCTGAGATGCAGCTTTTTGCTCCAGAGGCCCCCCCCCCGCCCCCCTTTCACCACCCTGTTATTAGACGAGTTCCAGCTGGCTGCCGTCCAGCAGAGGGGGAAAGGTACAAGTGCCCGGGGTGCATTTCCGAGCCGCCCCGGTTCCTCCCGGTGCTCCTGGGAGTTCCTGGGAGTGTCCGGGGGCAGCCACTCCTCTGTCTGCTGCCTCCCCTTAGGTGAGCGCCTGCTTTCCCAGGAGCAGCTAAGAGGAGCAGCCTGTCAGAGCTGACGTGGGCTGAGCTCTGAGCCGGGCCTCTGCTGGAACAGCTGGAAGCCATCTGTGGCCGCTGTCTGGGGTGGGATCTGAAACCCATTCACAAGCTCCTCTGGAGTCCCTCGGAGTGGGTTTGCGCGGCTCGGCTAGCGTGCTCGGAGCCCTCGGCATGGACGTCCTGACCGCCTGGGTCTCCAGTGAGCCGGCCCTGGCCCGGCTCCTCTGGGTCCTGCTCCTGGTCGCGGCCACCTTCCTGCTCTGGCTCTTCTTCTGCTGCTGCTCCAGGGGGAACCAGAGCTCCTCGCCCTCCCTGGAGCGATACCTGGCAGGTAGGAGGGCCCTCGCTGCAGCCCCCCCACACCCCCTCCCTCCCTCCTGTCGGGCTCAGTGGAAAAATCTGTTTTTTTTTCTTCTTCTTCTGTTAATAGCCTGCTTTTTTCTTCCGAGATGGCAGAGCTGCATTTTCCAGAGAAAGCCGCTAATTTTGGCCTTTTCCATGTTGTGGTTGGAGCCGATCAAATGTTCCCATGTGAGGAGAAACAGTGCTTCTTTCTCCCCACAAGCCCAATAAAAAAAACATCTGAAAATACATTTCAAACTCAGTGCCTTAAAACTTTCTACATTCTCAGAGGTCAAGGGTCAGCAAGTAGCTGGGGGAATTTGCTGAGTCATGTTAACCTGCACTATTCTTGTCATCTTTTTACTTTCCAGGTGTTCAGCTTTCTCTTGTATCTTTAATAAGTTGCATTTCTCTTCCTCACAGTGATGGTGAAGAGCTCCAAACGTAAAGCTCCAGCTCAGGTGAGGAAATCTCTCGGAACGGCTTTGTTTTGGGTCGAAATCCCATCACATGCGAGCAGATATTTGTTTATAGCCCTTTTCTGTTCCACTGCTCCTGTAATCCCCACCTCAGACTTCAGAGGTCCCCATTTACTCGGGATTTCATGAAGAGACTCACAGAGGAGACGAGGATGGGGAGATGCTGTAGGGTCAAAGTACAAGATGCTTTAGGGTTAAAGTACTATAAACTTTAGAGTCAAAGTATGAGATACTTTAGGATAAAATTACAGGATAATTTAGGGTCAAAGTATGGGATACTTTGGAATACTTTTGGGATACATTGTTTTCAAGATGCTTTTCTGAATTTCATTTTCATGTTTCTAGCTCATTTTTGGGCTTTTTTGTGGGACCTTTCTGACTTTCTGGCTCCAGCTGCTTCCAGAGGCTGTTTCTTCTCATCTGTCATGGCTTTAGAGTCCCTTCACTGGCTTTCAGGCTGGCGCCCTTCTCAGATATCTGTGACCACTCACTGGGAGTGTTTTGGCCTGGCCTCCGGCCACTGAGAGCTCCCTGAGAGCGACGAGCTGGGCAGAGCTTCTGAAACGCCTCCATGAGAGGAACTCTTTGTCCGGGTGGCGCTAACAGGCCCACTGAGGTCCATTTCCCTCAGTGGACGCACAAAAGGGACATGTGAGGCCTCTGTGTGGAGAACAGAGGGCCTGTGATGAGCGATCATCATTCACAGGCTGCCGGGCTCCATTTGGAGGCTGTGCCATCAAATATCAAGTAGGAGACACTTAAGGGTCAAAGTACGAGATGCTTTATAGTCAAAGTACGAGATTCTTAAGGGTCAAAGTATGAGATGCTTTAGGGTCAAAGTACGAGAT